ATTTGCCTCAGTCATATATTTCCCAGGTACCAATGCATACAGACGGAACAGATTACATATGACATTTTCATTCTGCTCGTCACATACGAAAAACAGTGGAGCAGACAGCCTGCAAGAACAGAGTATGCAACAAGCCTTCTCCACCCTGCCTCACCCCACTGCTGCTTCCAAGGTGAATCATGAAGGGAAACTCAAAATAAAAGCCTTTTTCTCCCTGCATGTAACTTTCACGGCAACCCTCAGCAGAAAATTGAGCTGAACTTACCTCATCACCACAGTCAGAAGCTCCATGAGAGCCCTGCACGTGTTAGGCATTCTCCAAGGTGCGCCAACCAGCCCCTGCACAGAAGCGTCATGTGAGTCTTCATCAATAAAAGTTCAGAAGTCTGCAAACCCTGCTAAGGTGGCCAAAGGATTCCCCTTGGGTGAAAGTGCATTGTACTGTCAGGATACATCTGCTCCTGCAGAACTCAGCCAGAGGCCTCTTACCAATTCAGTGGAGCTGCACTATCCCCCCAAACTATGCTCAGCATAAACATGTTGAAGATTTTAATAAGCCAGATTTTCTATGTGCCAGTTAGCATTCTCCAAACAAGTTTGACTTAGCAGCCTAAGCACAATGCAAAAATAACAGGAACGAAAACTCTCCCAGGTTTACAGTGAGCATTACCTCCCATTAAAAATGCTTTTAGAAGGCAGCCTTGAATACTCCAGAACTGGAATCTGTCAATGCATCACTCCCCCTCTTAACCAGCATTCAATAAGTGGTGACTCTCCCACTCCTCCACAGCATTGCACAAATAGCTGTGCAAAGAGGAGCAGCATTAGCCTAAGGTAGTCCACCAGTTGCAGTCTGCATGTTTTTAAAGGTCTGTTGAAGCAGCACTAAGAAAACAACACATTACACAGGTCACGGAGAGTAACACGTTTTTAATCTTCCCTTCGTGCAGCAGTTGGGAAAATGCATGTTTTGGCTCCGTATCAATTCTCACTTTTAGCCTATCTGAACCTCAGAATTCTAGGAAAGGACACAATAACGATTCCCTTTTTAATTTCCCTTGTTCTGTTTCAGTGGGTGGAGGGACATAGCACCAGTCCCAATGAATTTATCAAGCATCTCATTTGCTATAGCTTCTGTTTTTCCGAGAGCTCTTCAGTCAGATGTTATGTGAGAATCATGCCAGCAACAAAGTTTGAAAAAAGTGAATCATAAAATCTAAAAGGCCAGTAAAAAGCACTCACATTTTAAACAACACTCATGATTTTTAAGCCCATGATTACATGCCACGAGTTCAAAGTATCTGGGGGGTTTGCCTGATGATTCTTGAGCATTTATGCTGGAGACACTGGCAGTGCTGGACAGATCCTAGGAGCCTCTCTGGGCAGACATAATGTGTGGCAGATAGGTCATGTCTTAAGAGAAATTTCTATGACTCCAACAGGACTGCTTTAAATTTCAAAGTCTTCCTTCACAACAGAGTGTAGCAACTTACTAAACAGAAACGGATCTCATTAAGCGACAGGTGATGTGTTTCAGTGATCAAAGCCTAGATTCAGCAATAGGAGCCCATGAGTCATGTTGACTGTTGCCATTCTAACTGCTCCTCGGATGACTTCCAAAGCAATACATCCCTGCGCGTTTGTTGTACCCAGCTCAGCCTGCAGCTCCAACAGTTTACTCCTAAGTAGAAGTCCAGCTGAAAGATGATTTTCAGAGTGCCATTAAAACATTTAGTGACAGAAATATTCTGCTGACACTGAGGATCCTGAAATTCTTTAAGCTCACACTATCAACAAACAGGATTTTGACAGATTAGTCAGATGTACGGAAGATGCACAGGCTCTGGGTCCATGGGAGCAAATCACCGCATGCACAAACCTCCTGGGGTCAAGCCAGTGGCCACACCAAGTGCTTTGCAAGCGGAGTGCTGAGTGCTTTGGCAGTGCAGAGCCCTCAGTCTGCTGAAGAAACCTCCAGAGCGCATGATTCAGCTGAGAGAGAGCGAGAAGATCAGGAAAAAGGAGTGACTGAAGACATACCTAAGATCTTCACCATAAAACCACTTGTGCTCATTTGCTTGCTGAAGGTTAAGACGGAGAAAACATTCCTGAGCCAGGAAAACTGCCAGTTGTTATTTTAATACTTACCCAACACAGTGTTTCTCCACAATCCACAAACAAGAAAACCAGAGTATCTAGGAGCATAAAACTACTTATTTTATACACTTGGGAACATAATCTAAGGAAGGGTTGAAGAGCTTCACTATCAGATTCTTTAGTAAACAAAATTTAAAGTACTGGTATTCAAACCGTTTAGGCCTTTGGGAATGCCAACAGAGATCGACATTCTAGGTATTTGGCCATGGTTTGGCTGCACAGACTCTTCTGGCTCTCCAGCAACACCACATAGCGTCCTGAACTTTTATTCTTGGAGATCAAGAGTTCCTTGCAGCCCAGTGGGACAAATTGGCTATCGATGATCAAAAAGGCAAACACATCTGAAAGACGTGCTAAGGCTTCCCTTCCTCTGCAGGGAGAATTTATGACCGTTTAGGGTACTTTACTCGCTTTCTTCCATGGCACAACTCAGACCGTTTGCTCAAACCCAGAACTGCTCAAATCTTCTGATACACTCCGGTGTCAATTCCTGCTTCTACAGCTATTGAGAGAGAAAGGCGCACACTGTTATGCATTAGCTTCCCAAAATAGCTAACTACCAGTCTGGGGTGGCTGACTGGGCTAAACAAATTGCAACCCAAGACTCCTTCCTTAGCCTCCCCCACCCCACCCCCTATTAAAAAAAAAAAAAATTATGTTCTTATTAGAAACTATCAATTATGAAGAAAATAGTACATCCAGTTGAGAGCCAGCTATTCAGCAGACTTTTTATAAATAAATCCCCCTGCTGAGAAAGCACCAGTGCTTATGTAACCACGCACCAGTCCGGCAAGCGCAGCTCTTGCTTGTGGCCACTGGTTTCAGTGGTCAGTGTTTCTACCCCAAAGGCAAAGACGACTTTCAGTCTCTCCCCTTTGCACATTCAGTACTTCAGAAGACAGGAGAACAGGGTTGGTAACGTCTCCTTACGCCTCGTTTTGTGGCCTACTGGAGACCACTTTCCCCAGAGCCAGCACTGCTGTATTTTTTGGGGATCAGCTGAGGCTCCGAGAGATGTGCTACTGCTGATCCGTTCTTGGGATGAGCTGGACCCAGGAGCCCAAGTCTTCTGCTCTTGACATCCATCAATCTCCTGTTAAGATCAGAAATGAGCCCCACAGAAAAGAGGGGCACGAATGACTGACCAAAGGTCCTAATTCACAACAAATAATGTTCATGTATTTAATAATAAGCTGATGGGCTCATCTCTAATGAGCATCTAGGATTTTCCTACTGAATGCAGGCATCAACCTAGAAATTGGAACAAATTAAATGCAAAATTTACTACTACGCTAAAGGAAATTGAATAAAGACAAATATACACCATTTGTACGTATACAGCCTCTGTTGACTATCTTCTTCATTTTGTGAAGCTGAAAGCTTATATATTCTCCTTTCTACTCAAATGAAATCTAGGGCCCAAAGTCCTAGTCAGGGGCAAAGTGTTCTTTCTGTTCACTTCCTATTTAAGAAAAGCTTCTGAGAAACTTTTGAGTAAAACACATTCTTTAAAGCATTCTGTATTTCCCTACTTGAAGTTTGCACTTTCTACACTGCGAATCTGAATTTTCAGCAGCCCACCAGAAAGGGCAGCTCAGGGAGCCAAACCCATAGCATAGACTTACAAACCTTTGGCTCCTCCTTGCTAAGCGCACACACGTATGGAAGGAAGGTCTGTCCTACAAGCAAAAATCATTGAGAAGAAAAGCTCCGCGTGGAGCAGGCACCGGTGTACACAGCAACCACATGATCGAAACTGGCAGTAACTACAAAAAAAAAAAAGCACACCTAACATAGATCGGGCTTCAGTAAACGTGTAGTGCATTCTTTCTATTCTCCCAACACTTTTTCCAGGAAAGAAGGGACAAAATGTCACAGTCTGCTCTTAAAAGAAAAGCAGATTTAAAAACAGAAAAACTACGGGGGAAGAGGGGGGAACCACCAAAACCACAAACACACATGCATTCATGTCTCCTAAATATCTCCTAAATAAAGATGAAAGAAAATTTCCTCTTTCATTTTTCCAATTCACTTTTTCCTTAAAAAACAAAGATACTCAGAAGAAACGCTCGTTTCCTCCTCCCCCGAAGTTCTGTATCTAAAAAAAAAAAGGCAGCATCCCCCCAAAACAAATGACCCAGCTACCTCCACAAAAGAGAACAAACTCATGATGAAATAGCATGCTGGAGCACAGCTTGTCACAGGTCTCTGGGAATCCGACCTCAGCCTCCAGACTGGCTTCCCTTTGGCAACACACAACACGGGTATCCCGGAGGAGTCAGCTTCTAGATGAAGGTTATTCAGGTAAAGAACATCCTCTTTGCCTAACAACTCATCTGTGTCAACTTGCTTTTTTCTACAGAAATTACATACGCACTCCTTCGTTGGGAGAAATGGCCAGTGCATTCCTTCAGTAGCGTGGGGGAAATACGGAGATCCTCTGGAAACTACTGAATTTGTCAGACCTGCAGGAAGTCATACTACATTAATGTCACCTTTCACATGCACCGCTGTTTCCCCTGTTTTTACAAGAGCAAAAGAAAGACAAAATATACGTTAAGACCTCTGTCCTGATGTTCTTCTCTGTTTGAGATGTCCACCCGGGTCTAGCTGATGGTAAAACAAAGCATCTTTTATTCTTCTGTTCATATATAAGCACGGTTATTCTCTAGCCTGCCACCTGGAAGTTTCGGGCCTTTTCTATAGAGAATAATTTTTTACCTGTACTTTGAACAGAATTATTACCTTAAAGAAAGAAATGACGTGTCTTTTGGCACTGTATATTAGTATGTTATTTTTTCCCGTACCTTTTATGCTTTTAAAAAAAATGAGTCACGTTTTATTTTTAATCACGCTTTTATTACCTTTTCCCAAAAACAAGCAAAAAAACCCTTCCAACAAATCACATCCTATACTGCTATATTTACATTGTAGACTTCTTAATCTCTTACGTAAATATACATATTCTGAAGTAATCTGCCTTTAGAAAAGAATGCTATTCTTAGTATTCTGATGATGGATAAATCTTCATTATCAATGTAATGCTCAGAGAAAAGAAAATCAATTTTCAGAGTTGTCAAATATCAAGATAAGCATACAGATTAAGTCTATTAAATTATTTGAAACAAAAAGAAACCTCAAATGTTACAATAACTTAAGACAATGTAGTATACCACACATATAACATGGCCAAAACTGCTTATTTTTGATGGACATTAGTTATCACAATTGTTTTCCAAAGCAGGAATAAAAAATTTTTTTAAAACTTTCAAACATGCTATTTGAAATATTCACTTCTTCTTGGCAATTAGTTTATCTTCATAGTTGACTGGGATTATGCCACTGCATTCTTCTGTCTTTGATACAGGATGCTTTATAAAAGCACGTCTAATTACATCAATATCACGTCCTAAATGATCCATCATGGTCGATACAATCGAAGGTGGGGCCTCTAAGTCTATCAAAAAATACCTGCAATGAGAAACATACACACAATAAAAAAAATACCTGTACTGCAACAACTTTAATTCAAGTAACTGTTCTGTGGGATTTCTTAAATGAAACTTTCTAATTTTTTCTTACATTTTGGTACCAGAATTGTTTTAAATAAAAGTTCAGTATTATGTTGATTTCAAACAAGAAAAGTTCAATTGAAGCAGGCTCAGCCTGAACTCTTCTTTGTTGTACAGCACCGCTTACCCAAGGAGATTAAAGAGAGCTTACTCTTCTTGTACCTATTCCATTCATTTCCACACCTTGGTTTGAATAGTCTTAAAAAAAAAAGTAGGGTGGCACATTCATTTCAGTTACAACATGCATTCTCCTTCTTCAAATTCACAGCATTGTTTCTCCAGGGAACAGATGCCAGTGTGAAACGTCTCAAGCTTTTATACATACAGACACGTTTCTTCCTTTGAAGTTCTGCTTTGGAACTGAATGTAAATTAAAACAAAACAGCAAAAGAAACCCAAGGAGATGGACTTATCCCAAATTAGGCACATCTCTGATGTGAACATGTCTTAAATTTTCAGTCTGAGGGCAAAAGCTGAAGCCACATCCAGGTGATGCCCACTTGCGCAGTTGGCACTTGACGAGCACAGTCGTGCTGACCTCCGTGGGGCTGAAAAGGTCTTACTTCCACACATGCACAGCACATATAAAATGCACTCTCCAGGTAAGCACTTCGCGTCCACCACACAGCTATCTTTGACACCTATAAAGAAGAAGCCGACCACCTACCTACGGGAGGGAGAACATTGCTCCCCGCTAATATCTTAGGTCACCGAGGTCACTTCTGCAATAAACTCCTTTGCTGAAGAACTGAACCTTCTTCATGAGCTCAACTATAATTTTCCAAGAGGCTTTTAAAACTCCAGTACACCCAAACAAGCAAAGAGGTCTGCACTTCATGCACCAGTACACCCAAACAAGCAAAGAGGTCTGCACTTCATGAGCCCCATTTCAGACAAGGGACACAACTACACAGTGCGCATTAACTTAATCTCAGATATGCAAATTCAGATCCCAACTCTTAACATGAGATGTATCTTAAAGTCATTAGCACATTATGTCTATTGTTCCTGCAAGTTATGAGCGACCTAGTGCCAGCCATCACACTATTGCAAAAAAATGAGTGAGCCATCCCTCCTCCCATGAAATGCTGGGAATGAACCAGCATTGTCAACGGAGCTGTAACCAGAACACCTTTTAATCACTTTGTCTGCTTTTGGCATGGCACTAACTTTAGTACAGTAAAAAGACACGGCAACTGTCTCAGAAATCCTAATGAAGAGAACTAACCACTTGCCTCGTTTCCAAGACTAGCAGTAATTTAAAGGCTAAGTGTACAGCACAGCACTTCCCACCTAGTTATTTCATTTTAATCTTTACGCATCCCCTCATTAAAGCTCCCCTTTCCTCCTAGTCCACTCAAGCACACCTCCCCACGAAGCATCAGTATAACCTGAAAGTGATATCCCTTAAACGAAGTCATATTACCCAAGCAGGATCAAGCACCCCAGTTTGATTTAAAAACTACCTAACAGAGAGGAATTCGTTCTGCAAGAGGTATGGATTCTTACTAAGTCAACTATAGTGTGAGCATCACACTTCACAGTCCGCCTTCACAAAGGTAATCTTCAATGGTAGGTCCCCAAGACCAGAAGCTGAACTCTGAGTCTGAACAGGAAATACAGGAAGATGATGGGGTCATGAACAACAGACAAAATCATGTTCTTCATGCTCCGTGGAGTTCAGTTTCATCCAACTAAATGTGTTACATCAAAAATGTTACAGACAGAGCAGACCCATTGGGCCAGAAATGACTCAAGCAGCGGGTTCTGGATTACTGCACAGGGGTGGAATCCACCCATGGAAAACACAGCGAAGAAACTTCTCCTTAGCCAGACATCCTAATCCTCAAAATCTTAATAGCCACAATTCGGCTCTGAAGTCTTTTTCAGGAAGACCAGACCGAAGCACTGAATTCTCGTATGTGAGGGGTCTGATGGAAAAAATCTCCCTGCAGCCCTTACTGAAGCAAGGAGCTCTCCAGAAGAGATGCCCAGCTGGTGCGGGCTGTGGCCGAGCATCACTGAAGCCAAGGGACTAGTGCCAGGTCACGTCAGCGAAGGTGCTGCTCCTCTGACTGCAGCAGGGCTACTGAGAGCTACAGGAATAACTTGCCTCACGAAGGATTTGGAGGAACTCTGGTGGGCTCAGTCCTCCTCGCAAATCCTCACAGGCTTCAATAGGGAACAGGATTCGGCGTAATATATTTGGAAAACTGAACTGCCTACCATTTTCTGGTCTCCAGAATTAAAAGATGCCACCCAGTTAAAAGTTTAGGGAGAGAACCAATTTTTAAGCTTGGACAATTCGTTAGAAATACTGCACAACAACATCAGAAGGATGCACACCCCTTAAAAAGGGAAAGTCATATTTTCTGTTAAAGCCATTAAAAGCCACTGGTAAATTTAACAGATGACACTTCACTCTTCTCCTTGGGAAGAAGCCTTCCAAATCCTCTCACAGTTGCAACTAACAGAAAGGAGGATGGGAGGAGAAATTCTAGCTGGTGATCTGCCACCACCCTTCATGCCCCCTTCCCTTAGCAAAAGCATTCGTTTGTACTGCAAACCATGCTCTTTGCTGCACCATTTTAGTCCCACCATTTCTCGAGAATTTAATTTTATTTCTGCTTGCAAGTCATATGCTGCTTTTCATTGTGCTCCTAAAACGGCAATAGTTTTTTTTTCTCCAAAGGCTGCTTTGCAACTTTGTGCTTTCTCTCACATTAGCAAAGGGTGGAAATTTCCACTGACGCACTGTTGATAACTGAAGGAGAAGGGGGGGATGGGAGGATGAGCTGTTACAGCATATCTTTATGACTCCTCGCAGAATAGGTATTTTATCTGAGGATACAAAACTGCAGTAACTGGGGACAATGCAAGTTTTTAAAAACAATCACCACTCTTCAATGTTAATAAGCAACGATTGCTCTCCTGTGCCAAAAAAGAGAGAAGGAAAAGAGGGACAGCGTAAAAAATATTACTTCTTCATTAAAGAAAGAGAAGAAACTAATGGCTACAAAAGCAATAACCAAACACAATTTACAGTGCAATCCCTGAGGAGATCTGCAACCCCTTCCCCCCAAAATTTAAGTCAGCTGTCACAAGGCCGTGGGGGTTTTTTTAACCCACCCTCAATACGGCATGCAGCAACCTTAATTTCAGGCAGTGATCTATGACCCGATACACAATGCCGTAGCTACTGTTTGTGTAGTAAACAAAACCAAATCCCAGTGAGACTAGATAGGGAAAAATACAGGAATGCAGGAGGGAAACCACCTCATTCTTGCAAGCAAAAATGCAAAAGCATTTAGGCTCTCTAGGAGTCAGCCGAGTCATCAGGGGAGAAATGCAGGAAAATTCCACTGATTCACTACGAGACCATAGTTATTTTTGTCATCCTGCTCGACTGTAAATAGAAGGATGACTTAAATACAGGAGAGCAGACTGAAATATTAAACAATGCATTAACTGAAAAAAAAAAAAATTAAGAAATCATATGATCTCAAATAAAGGAGAACATGTCTTTGCATACGAGAGGAAAAAAAAAAGAAAAAAAGAAGAAAAAAGCCAGGTTTCATTTATTCTTTTTAACGTATTCAAGCCAGAAATTGTTTGAACCTTGAGTCCTAAGGATACTCAAATATTTTGCTTTCAAATGGACAGTCTAGGACTTCAAAGAACCCTAAAAAGCACCTGGATCAAAGCTCACTTTTAAATCCTCCTAGAATATGACTCTGTCAGCCTGGGGAGCCGAGGGAAAAGCACACATATGGTGGACTTGGAAGAGGCTGTGTGGTCCCGTGGTTGTGCCCAAAAAATGTCTGTATGCTTAAACTTCTCCTTTACACCGAGGCAGTAAGTCTATGTAAGCTTCCTCAGTGGGGAGGTGGAAGATACAAAGGAAAGAAAATGTTCTGAATAACAGGTAGAGGTGAAGCATCAAACAGGGAAACAGGAAACCACCTGGAGGAAAGCAAGCTGCAGCACTCACGTGAGAGCAGCTGGACATTCATTCTCATGGAGGTAATCCTATATAAATGAAATTGTTTTGCTACCTGAATGATCGCTTCACCTTTGGGACCACTGCATTGCTCTGAAGAGAGGTAGTTTGCTTTTCTTCTCAACTCTGGTGGTAGCTATCCTTCCTCAGCAGGGCAGGCAGGTAAGTTCACGCTCAGAAGGATTATAATTTTGTAGCTGGAAGGACTCGTACATGTGTTACTTTTAGCTTTTAAAAACCAGGTATGGAATAGATGGACATCCCTTGAAAATCAAAATGACAGCAACTGGGAAGTACCAGATCAAAACCAAAAGCTGGTACCTTAGTAACTAGACTGTGCCACAGCAATGACACAAATAATCCATAATGAGCAAGTACTTCAGGTAAAAATACATTTTACTATCCACAGTCTTCAGAAATTTCATTTGCCAAATTCTATGCATAGACGCCTGTTATTAAGCGAATTAAATACTGGAAAGACATTTTGCAGCATTGCAGAAAAATAAAAAAAAATACTGTTACACTGCAAAAGAGAAACCAGTCTGACATATTTGGAGTATCTGAAAAGTCATGCTCACTGGGCAGCATTTTGAAAAGTCTGCAAGATTGTTATGAGCAGGGCTGAAGTTACACAGCAAGTATTAATTCTGCTTGTGTCACTTCTCTGCCTTCTGTATAATTCACAGCTTAAAAACCACCAACATGGTGACTGACTCCCATCCCATCAAGCCCACTATTTAAGAGCAGCCATCACATTTAATCAATGTGCTTGCACAAGGATGCTACAAAATTTAGTGCATCAGAAAACGATACTGGCGCCTCAACATCACCAACTATTGCACCCTGCCATTTCTTCTGAAAAGCACCAAAATTGCAAATTGCACTCCCACAGATAAGGT